TTAAAACGACAAACCTTCTTTTCTTCACCAACCTTAACATAACCTTGTGGTTGATTGATAAACACCTCCTCTTAAAGAAAACCATTTAAGAAGGCTAATTTGACATCCATTTGATAAACTTTTCAACTATTTTGAGTTGCGAAGGCTAGCACCATTCGAATTGTCTCAAGATGAGCAACCGGAGCAAACACTTCTTGAAAATTAACTCCATATTTTTGTTTGTAACCTTTCACGACAAGATAAGCTTTGAACTTATCAATCTCTCCATTTTCATTCAATTTTGTCTTGTACACCTACTTCACATCAATTCCCTTCTTCCCATTTGGAATATCCATAAGCTCTCTAGTGTATTTTTATGTATTGAATCAATTTCTTGATCCATGGCTAGCCTCCACTTCTCTTCTTTAGAAGCTTCCTCAAAATCGATTGGGTCAGCATTAGCGAACAAAGAAAAATTAGTCAATTGTCTTCTAACATTTTGTAGGTACATTCATAGAGTTCTCTTATACTTCTTGTCTTTATGGGGGCAGCACTTGTACCTAAACTTGAAGATGATGATGATGGAGAAGAATGCAAATGAGTAGGAAGTGGGGAAGTTGGAGGAGTACTAACTTCTTCATTCCCTTCAACCTCAACATTTTGGTCATTGGATTCTTCTTCCAATTCAACACAACTTGAATTTCCAGACTGATCTTTTTCATTCCAATTCCAAGATTCTTCTTCATTAAACTTCACATCTCTACTGACAATAAGTTTCTTGGTGATTGGATTATACAACTTGTATGTCTTCGAACTTTCACTATACCCAACAAAGATACATTTTTTAGATTTGTCATCCAACTTCTTCCTCTTTCATTTGGCACATGTAAATATGCAACACTTCCAAAAATTCTCAAGTGCCCAACACTCGGATTATGTCCACTCCAAGCTTCTTGAGGAGTCATATCTACCACACTTTTGGATGAGGTATGGTTCAAAAGATAAACAACACAACCCACAACTTCGGCCCAAAAAAGAGTAGGAACTCTCTTTGCTTTTAACATACTTCTAGCCAACTCCACAATAGTTTAATTTTTTCTTTCAAAAATTCCATTTTGCTGAGGAGTGTACCGAACAGTAAATTGATGTTGGATGCCATTTTCTTTGAGAAAATTCTCAAATTCTCCATCAATGTATTCACCACCTCGATCGGAATGCAAAACTTTTATCACAAAACCACTTTGTTTTTTAACCAAAGCCTTAAATCTTTTGAAACATCCAAATACTTTAGATTTTTCTTTAAGAAAATAAACCCAAGTTTTTCTGCTGTAATCATAAATTAAGGTGAGAAAATAACAATTACCTCCAACTGAAGTGACGTTCATTGACCCGCAAATATTTGAATGTATTAACTCGAGTGGTTTTGTTGCTCTCCTTTCTTTTTCAACCGGGAAAGAATCTCTATGATACTTCCCAAGAACACATCTTTCACAAACTTTTTCTTTTAGACCAACACTAGGCATGCCATGCACAATTTTCTTCTTGCTCATTATAGAGAGAGTTTTGAAACTCAAATGCCCAAAACAAAAGTTCCACAACCAAGATTTGTCCCTGATAAAAGTGTTGAAACAAGAACCAAACTGATTTTGAAACTTTAATGGAAACATCATGTTTTGAGTCATGCTCACCTTAGTAATGAGAACACCATTCTTGTCTTTGATCTCACACTTGTCCTCCTTGAAGTTGACTTCATAACCCTTCAATAAAAGCTGTCCAACAATCACGAGATTGTGCTTGAGGCCTGGAACATAATGGACATCAGAAATGCGCTTTATCCCTTTGTTTATGTGAACAAGGATAACGCCACTGCCCTTTAGATGCCTCTCTTGTCTTCTTCATTGGTGAATATGAATAAATAACTGTCTTGCTCTCCATCTCTTATTTCCAGTTGGTTCCCAGCATTCCATGCTTTAGTAAGTATTGTCTGGACTGCATTTCGGTTTGATTTTCGTGGTTGAGAATAGCTTAACCCACTAGACANGATCTTTTTCATTCCAATTCCAAGATTCTTCTTCATTAAACTTCACATCTCTACTGACAATAAGTTTCTTGGTGATTGGATTATACAACTTGTATGTCTTCGAACTTTCACTATACCCAACAAAGATACATTTTTTAGATTTGTCATCCAACTTCTTCCTCTTTCATTTGGCACATGTAAATATGCAACACTTCCAAAAATTCTCAAGTGCCCAACACTCGGATTATGTCCACTCCAAGCTTCTTGAGGAGTCATATCTACCACACTTTTGGATGAGGTATGGTTCAAAAGATAAACAACACAACCCACAACTTCGGCCCAAAAAAGAGTAGGAACTCTCTTTGCTTTTAACATACTTCTAGCCAACTCCACAATAGTTTAATTTTTTCTTTCAAAAATTCCATTTTGCTGAGGAGTGTACCGAACAGTAAATTGATGTTGGATGCCATTTTCTTTGAGAAAATTCTCAAATTCTCCATCAATGTATTCACCACCTCGATCGGAATGCAAAACTTTTATCACAAAACCACTTTGTTTTTTAACCAAAGCCTTAAATCTTTTGAAACATCCAAATACTTTAGATTTTTCTTTAAGAAAATAAACCCAAGTTTTTCTGCTGTAATCATAAATTAAGGTGAGAAAATAACAATTACCTCCAACTGAAGTGACGTTCATTGACCCGCAAATATTTGAATGTATTAACTCGAGTGGTTTTGTTGCTCTCCTTTCTTTTTCAACCGGGAAAGAATCTCTATGATACTTCCCAAGAACACATCTTTCACAAACTTTTTCTTTTAGACCAACACTAGGCATGCCATGCACAATTTTCTTCTTGCTCATTATAGAGAGAGTTTTGAAACTCAAATGCCCAAAACAAAAGTTCCACAACCAAGATTTGTCCCTGATAAAAGTGTTGAAACAAGAACCAAACTGATTTTGAAACTTTAATGGAAACATCATGTTTTGAGTCATGCTCACCTTAGTAATGAGAACACCATTCTTGTCTTTGATCTCACACTTGTCCTCCTTGAAGTTGACTTCATAACCCTTCAATAAAAGCTGTCCAACAATCACGAGATTGTGCTTGAGGCCTGGAACATAATGGACATCAGAAATGCGCTTTATCCCTTTGTTTATGTGAACAAGGATAACGCCACTGCCCTTTAGATGCCTCTCTTGTCTTCTTCATTGGTGAATATGAATAAATAACTGTCTTGCTCTCCATCTCTTATTTCCAGTTGGTTCCCAGCATTCCATGCTTTAGTAAGTATTGTCTGGACTGCATTTCGGTTTGATTTTCGTGGTTGAGAATAGCTTAACCCACTAGACAAGATTTGGTTACAAAAGTAGTTGTGGATTCATCTGGTGTCAGCTGTATTGTGAGGTTTGGGGTTTCGGGTGTGGTAATTTTTGGAGAGTTTACTTGTGTGGGGGGTTGGGGGTAGTCCTTTGACAGGTTGCATGAATAGTGGATTGCTAGTATTTTGATGGAGATGGTATGAGTGGTGAAGAAGATGGGTGCGGTCTTGGTTAATTTCATGTCGAGTACCGCACCCCATGTAGAATCTGTATCCAGACTCAAAAACAAAACAAGAGAGGGGCAATAGACACGTCTAATCTTCTTATGAAATAGGAGATTAACTATCCCTGTATCAAAGATCCAAAACAACGTAGCTATAGTACAAGAAAAAGAAAACCTGTGTCTAACATGTAGAATTCCTTCACATCAATCAAATTCATCAAGCAGTACCACAGCATCAAAGCTTGCTCTAATTTCTAGCCTAATGATTTTCCGTTAGAGTTTTAACATTATTTACACAAATTACACTACTAATAAAAAGCGACGAGGGGTCTAATATCTTCTCCCTTTATTAGTAGTTATTAATAATTAAGCTAATTATAATTCAATGTAATAGACTTCGTCAAAATAAAATATATATATAAAAAATACATTTAATTTCCATCTATAACATCCGATTAAAAACTTTCCGCCCCTTTGTCTCTCTTCTTTAATCGTCTCTATATCATTCATGACTAACATTTTCTTAACCATCTCTCTTAGAAGCATTTAATTGCTTACTTTGTCCTTTCTAGTCTCTCGGCACCTAGGTCTCCATCGTAAGTCTTTCCTCGTTTAAATCTCGCCCTTCACTTTAAAGTTATGCCATCCTAAGGTGGTGTTAAATGGATGGTATTTTAATAAAAATGAGCACTTTATGGGAGAAACTCAATTATATGTCGACTAAATTACTAAAAGAACTTAAGTTTATTTATTGTATTAGTTCTACTTGGTTATTGAGTTAAGTGATACCTTGAGACTCTCAAGTGTGCAAGAGTAGAAATAGTGGAAGAAATTCGAGTTTCTGAAATCGTTTTTTAATTTACTAAAGAAATAAAGGCCAAAAATAAACACTCCTATTTGTATCATCTTCTCTCCATATCAGAATAAAGTTGTAGTCAATTAGGTTTGATTGTTGTATCTTAGGGACGATGTACACTATATGTTACTTCTATAAAAGGACGTGATTCATCTTGAGAGAGTGATCTAGTTTACAGCTTACCCTACGGTTTACTTTATTTTTGGATTCAAATTTCCATCAGTCTCTTCATCTATGGCCAACACTTTCTTCAAAATATGTTACAGACGCATTAATTTGTACACGCGTTGCAATGCCACTAAATCTGGTATTTAGAACATCAAACCTGACAAGGAAAAAACATTTTGATAAAGAAAATTAAGTCACCCAACATTCTCACAATATCTAAAATGCATAGTTTCAAAATTACAGGCCATACATCTCAATGTAAAACAGAGATGCTTATTGCATTCCATAACCATAATAATTACAAGTTGCTGAATGAAAGATCACAGCTCTTCAAATAAGAGAAAAAGAAGGATAAAAGTGCTTAGAAACACACACACACACACACACACATACACAATATGATGTATTATCCAAGGGAAAATCTTGGTCTTCCCTTAAAGCATCCATCCAGGTATGAACCCATTGATATTATGGCTAGAGGCTGCAACATTTATCTCATCATCTGAGCCCACATGGTTATATCTGAGACAGCGAGAATTCAAAATTAGTTAAACCAGGGTAATTAAGGGTAAAATAAATTCCACTAACATACCAAAATTGATCTGTAAAGCTGTTGATCTTAATTTGAGGTATTTGTATTTATTGATAATTGAAATAATAAAATAAAGTGAAATAATAAAAGAATAGAAATTTCTAAAGTGGCATCTTGTGATTGGATTAAAAAAAAAATCAAGGAAGTAGGGTACCGAAAAGTTGCTTTTCATACCGAAGTCTAACCCTTGAACAAAATGTTACCCTAGATCATAATAGGGTGGATGGCAGAAAAGTACCCAGAATGCAGTGTGGAGTTCAATCCCAGAGGCTGATAAAAGCCCTCTGACTGAGGAAGGAGGTTGCAAGGAATAGTGTGTCCCCCAGCTTCCCATGATATTCCATGAGCAATATCAGCAGCATTTGCTTCCAACTGAATTATTGAAACATTTAAGAGCTTACTTTACTGAAGTACCACAAGATCATACCAATTCATCTGCTAAGGTGAAGATAAAATGATGGGCAATTAACAAACAACATCGACGAAACGAAGGAATCATAAGAATTGCATTACTGTAGAGAAAGCCCAAAAATATGCAAAAAGAAAAATAACTGCCAATGAAATTGAAGGTTCAGACTGTTATGATACATTTTGCCCATATTTATGAATGGTACTGCAAAAATAAAATGCTACAACAGAAAATGAACTATGAAGCAGAATAGAATATGTTAGAAGATCCCATGAGTGATAGGTCAACAATCAAATCATAAGATTGATCAATGCTAGATTTATTGATAAGTAAATTACAATATAATTCCATGATTTGCTCAATCATTTTTTTTCCTTATGCAATTTTTTCCTTACCCTATGAATAAGATGATATTCATTTATACAATTATCAAAAATAATAAAGATGTAGCTGTTTTCAGAGATTGTGTGTTGTCGACATAGGTCTCAGGACAGAATCACGTTACATTTTTTTTTGTTTTTTTGTCTTCCATTTTCTCTATTAACTCTCTTAATTTGTTTGAAATTTAACAGAATAGGCCTTGCAAAACTAATTACATTGGTTAAGGCATTTAGGAATCCTTGCGACACACAAATATTAGAAAAGATTGTGGTTGGTTTGGTGTGATAAGCAGACCTTGATTACGCATCGGAATATATTTTTCCAGAAATAATAAAATAAACTCTCGGTATTATGTGAAAAAAATTGTACCATCCTTCTCAAGGCGCTGTTAGATTCAGCTAGCATTTTCTCCTGCAACCAAACAACCAGTAAATATCAAATCCAAGGAAAACGAAGTTCATTGACGTGAATATCAATACATACCCTCCTTTGAAGTTCAGCAAGCTGATCCAGAATGCCTTGAGTCTGAAAAAACAAAGTAGAAAACATCAAATACTTTTTGGTAATAGTCACCGTCAGCTCTATATATAAGCGTCAATTTAATTACAAAAACCATCCTTCAGAAAACCATCTAACATGTGTTTGCATCTACATCATGTAGTGTTCTACACATTTTCTCTTTAAACAACTCATAGATTAAGTTTTGTTGAAATATATGTCGAAAATGAAATTATAAGAAGCAAAGTAGACTAATAACCAGACCATGGTTACCACAATTCACTAAACCTTTAACGACCCACGATCTGGGTACTTCGATTCAAAACGTGGTGAGTTCGCGATCTAGATCACCAAAATTGATGACCCCAAATTGTAATATTAATTCTAAATCAATTCACTTTATAACATGTAGCACAAATATAAAATACATATTAATTGACTACATGCATATAGATTTATAATTATATATTGTTTTAGATAATAAAAAATCAAGCACAGTTATAAGATAAATGGTAACTAACTTAGTGTTTATGAATGTTTTGCAATATATAATATTGTATAATAGTGAAAATGATCTACATAAGAGTTTCAAAANGTTAGAAGATCCCATGAGTGATAGGTCAACAATCAAATCATAAGATTGATCAATGCTAGATTTATTGATAAGTAAATTACAATATAATTCCATGATTTGCTCAATCATTTTTTTTCCTTATGCAATTTTTTCCTTACCCTATGAATAAGATGATATTCATTTATACAATTATCAAAAATAATAAAGATGTAGCTGTTTTCAGAGATTGTGTGTTGTCGACATAGGTCTCAGGACAGAATCACGTTACATTTTTTTTTGTTTTTTTGTCTTCCATTTTCTCTATTAACTCTCTTAATTTGTTTGAAATTTAACAGAATAGGCCTTGCAAAACTAATTACATTGGTTAAGGCATTTAGGAATCCTTGCGACACACAAATATTAGAAAAGATTGTGGTTGGTTTGGTGTGATAAGCAGACCTTGATTACGCATCGGAATATATTTTTCCAGAAATAATAAAATAAACTCTCGGTATTATGTGAAAAAAATTGTACCATCCTTCTCAAGGCGCTGTTAGATTCAGCTAGCATTTTCTCCTGCAACCAAACAACCAGTAAATATCAAATCCAAGGAAAACGAAGTTCATTGACGTGAATATCAATACATACCCTCCTTTGAAGTTCAGCAAGCTGATCCAGAATGCCTTGAGTCTGAAAAAACAAAGTAGAAAACATCAAATACTTTTTGGTAATAGTCACCGTCAGCTCTATATATAAGCGTCAATTTAATTACAAAAACCATCCTTCAGAAAACCATCTAACATGTGTTTGCATCTACATCATGTAGTGTTCTACACATTTTCTCTTTAAACAACTCATAGATTAAGTTTTGTTGAAATATATGTCGAAAATGAAATTATAAGAAGCAAAGTAGACTAATAACCAGACCATGGTTACCACAATTCACTAAACCTTTAACGACCCACGATCTGGGTACTTCGATTCAAAACGTGGTGAGTTCGCGATCTAGATCACCAAAATTGATGACCCCAAATTGTAATATTAATTCTAAATCAATTCACTTTATAACATGTAGCACAAATATAAAATACATATTAATTGACTACATGCATATAGATTTATAATTATATATTGTTTTAGATAATAAAAAATCAAGCACAGTTATAAGATAAATGGTAACTAACTTAGTGTTTATGAATGTTTTGCAATATATAATATTGTATAATAGTGAAAATGATCTACATAAGAGTTTCAAAACGAATTACGAACCAAAATACCATACCAGCTAAACATACCCTCATCGTACCACGTACCTAAAAAAATGTTGTACCATGTACCTGTACCTGTACCACGTACCAAAGCGACCCACGATCCAGGTAACATTGAACCAGACACTTGGCATGTGAGGGCTGTAGTTACCTAGTATTCTGGATTGATACTATTCTCTTCCCAGTTAGATAGTGTCATTCATAACTCAGAAAGCCCTTGGGCATGTGTAGACCTATATTATGTGTCTAAATACTCATTAATATGACAAGTAAGTTGTCCATAACGAGCTCCGCGATTGTAGCCACCATGTTAATTTAGATAAATTGAGTGAAGGAATCAATGTACAAGCAACCATACTCAAGAAGATGTATGATAGTTGGTCAAGAAATTTTGTTATATATCATTATCACAACCCAGAAAATGTTTACGCTTTAGACAGAGACTTAAGAATGCAGTGAAATTACAATACAAAGCACAAGAATCTCGTCACTGTGGAGTCTAATGAGAATTAAATGTATGCAGTCTTATCCTGTGTTCTAAGTGATTGTTTCCGTACATAGAATTAAGAATGTCTCTGGCTTACAAATCCAACATTACCATTAGATGGATAAGCTTTTGACACATTTACTCCTCTAGATTACATTCAATTGATTTACTGATGGATGGAAAAAGAAACCTTGAACAAAAAGTGGCAGATTGAGCAGGAGGTACAAGGTATACTTAGGAACTGACATTGAGAAACCAAGCCCACCAAATAAGAAAGCACCTAGGAACAGACATTGTTGTTTCTTGATGTTTCGGCACAGATTGGCCCACAGTATTATAGTCTACAAACTTTTGCACCAACACAATGAATTACTAAAAGCGCATAAACTGAAGCAAAAGAAACTTCAAAACCTACTGCTTGAAAATCCATCATGGCGCTTAAATATCATACACTTCAGAGAAAACTTGTAATGAGACTTTCTTTACCTTAGTTGATCTAATTTGCTTCAAGGACTTCTCCAGCTGGTGTTCAAGCCGCTCAAGATCTTTCGTGTTTAATGGGCCTAAGTCTTCCCCAAGAAGGTTTCTGCAGCATTCAGGATTCAATATATTCAGGCAAATAATTTTCTTCATGAATCACCTTGAGTTCTTTAGGGTATCGAGGTTAGCGGTTGGCCTAATGGCCACCGCTCCCGCTTTTAAACCTTAAGGTCGCAAATAATTTGTACTTCGTCGTCTCCCTCCCTATAATAGTTTCCAACCAAAAAATAAATAAAAAAATTCAGGGTGCATTTGATATTAGCCATTTACCTTTGAGATTGTTGCAGGACATCAACTCTTGCCTTTAGCTTCAAATATTCATGGTAGCTGTTCTGCTTAAGGTGAGCACAAGCATTCAATAGTGGTACATCACTCGAGATATTTTGAAGACAAGGTAAAAGGAAAAAAGAACTTTCTGATTGAGTTCCCATCTAAGGATCTGTGGAAGAAAAAGGAAGGGTACTTCCAAGTCTATTTTATCTCAAGCATTTTCCTCCTTGCTCCCAAAAGAGTTTGACATATTTTCTTTTTTGGGGTGAGCCAAGAGGAAAGTAGAATAAGAGAGAAGTCAAAGGTGCTTACAGAGGGTAGATTTAAGAGAAAAGGTGATTAGTTTGACTAGTTCTTACATCCACGTACTTTCAAATTCTCCATCTGATGTGAAGATGAATAGACCAACCGAAATGTATGAGATAGTAGCACGCGAGTAGAAATAAGGGTTTACTGAAAAAAATAATAATAAAAATAAATTATTGATTTGTGCACAAATATTAATTTATATTCCTACTTTAAATCTGTTGATTCATGAAGAATGTTAGTACTAAAAACTTTCGTAAGTTTGTTGTTTCTTATGGAATACCAGAAAAATTAGAAATAAAAAAATAATTCTCTCAATTATATTAATCAGTCCAAAATTATTTTGCCCCAATCCTTACATGACTTTATATAATACCAGAAACTCTAAACTAACTAGAAAATTAGAATCCTAATTAGATTAGAAAATCAAATAAAATAAAACAGTTTCCTTATTTAATTAAGAAATACAATAAAATCTCTTAAATTTTCTTAATTGAAGGAAATCGACCACATTCAAAAAAAAATACTAAAATTCTTACCATTTATTCTGCATATTGTACCTAATCTTTGGGTTGTGATGAAAGTTTAGTTGCCTTGGTCTGCATCATCGATTATAATTAAAGACAAATTTTATTCCTAATCATTTGGGATGTGAGCTTTGCAGTTTACGTGGTATCTTGATTGTTCGAGTATTTTTTTAGACTAATGTTATTTAGACCTAAAAATTTGATCTAATTTGTTGATCTAATGATGTGTCTTCATTGAAATTATTGGATCAATACAAAGTTTAAATATTTGATGCGGTCCACAGTTAATCCCAATAGCATTGTTCATTTGTTTATAGACTAAATAATTCAGTTTCCTTGAAATTACAACTTTTTTTGGTGCACCTTGGGAAACTTTGGGCATATCTTGAATTATACTTTTAGCGAAAGTAGTTAAATAGAATCAAGCAAATGCAAGCATAAACATTGCATTAGGTGAAGATGAATGAAATGGATCAGGTGATCACATTTTCACTCAATAGTAGATCAATCTGTAGAATATTTGTACACTCATAGGCGAAGCTTAAAGAACGGATACTAAAATATGCTTTTGTTACCATGGTGTCATTGACTGGCTGGCTGGATTCCAGTGAACCATAACTGCACCTTTGATACCTCTCAAGGGTTTTCCGCATGCTGAAATAGAAGGAAGAAACCGAAGTGAGAACTATTGGGATGTGTACAAAAAATGAGAGAACATTTGGAATCAGGGTGACAACGAGTCCTGACATCTCGTATTTGGATCATGTTAGTTCATATTTATGTTGAATACTAGTAAATTTTAATCCGTTTTGTTTGATTGATCTTGTAAAATAATCTGACACTAATCTAACATTTTTGTGTTATGTTCGGATAGACACGCATAACCCATTAATAAGAACTCACTAATTAGGTAAAAAAAATTCCAATTCTACAAGAATTCATAGAATACTAAATCAAAAATGGTAAAGGGTGAAAATATCATAAATTTGTTCCATACTACATCAGCTAAACTAGTTGTTGAAAAATAAGGTTTTTGAGTTGAACCCTAATTTGTACTATTTATCATTTGTGTTAATAAGCCGAATTATTTTAGAGTTCAAATCAATAACAAGTCAACTTTAACTCGCTAATTTTGTATTAGGTTCGTGTTGTGTGAAGACAAATGTGAAACCTACGAAAATTTGTATCCATTATGTAAGAGGACATGTCTATTTTCATATGCGACACAAACAAATGCAGTGATGAACAACAGTAATGCTGTATGTGTCTTTCTTTGTATGAAAGATGATTTTAAACCCAGATATGATCTGTCAGTCAATTAGAACACATAACTGATGTACCAACAACAAAATGTTAGTTGGTTTATGAGAAATAGCGACGAACTCGTGCAAAATGCATGAGAATTAGAACCTCTTCTATTATCCTTTCCTTCTCTCTCACCTCACCATTTTGGAAGAATTACGTGAAATTACAAGATATTAAAAATTAATTTTTGAATTTTTTTATTAAATAACTGGTAGGTGGTTAGAGGGGAAGTGGAGGAAAACAAATTGTAAAGGCCAGTTGGCGTAATATGATTGGATGAGACATGATATTTTTATTAAATAAATCACATTTTACAAATTTAAAAAACTGGAGATAAGTCTTATCAAGTAGTTTCTCCCCCAAAAAGAATTGTTTTATATGGAATTCGATGCAAGGGTGATTTGCTAACTAGACAGAAGATCTAGAACATTACGAAAATGTCTAATCACTTAAAAACTCATAATTATTCTTAGATGTGTCGCATTCTCCACTATAGTGTTTTTGCACACAAATAAAATCTTCATCAGTCACCAAAAAACACTTCACAGAATATCTATAGCTGTCAGAATTCATAACACTACATGGTGCAGCCTCAACAGGTCTCAAAGATGATCTACCTAGCAAGCTGACGAAGAAATGAAAGTTGACTATACGATATGGCTGCAATCCCATAGACACTGGAAACCCTATAAGAATTGAGTTGCTAATCTTTTAATAAGTAAATGTCATCCAGTATCCTTGGCTCAGCCACCAGATTTTCATTAGATAATACTCATAATACTAGGATAATTTGGTACTAACCATAAGGAAATAAGTAGCAGTCAAAAATAGTCAAAAGTATGGTATTGTTAAAAAAAAAAATGGATACCATACTGGGAAGGGAAACTCTATGGTACCGCATTTGGTACCGTGCTGAAAATTATAATTTTTATAGTAAAGTTATAATTCAAAAGAGATAAGTTATAATTGCTCAGGAGAAATCTATGATCGATCACAGATACACATGATCGATTATTCACTTTCTCTGAACAGTTGTAACTTATTTCATTTAAGTTGTAACTTGACCTTTAAAAATTGTAACTTACAGTTTAAAAAAATTGTAACTTAACCTGAAATTGTTGCAACTTTTGGTACGGTACCTCCTTCGACACCGTAGCTTTTCCCTACCGAGAAATGATTAGTAGCCACTTAATTTGATTGATTCAATTTTGACCATTGATCAGGAAAATAATTAAAAAAAAATGAACAAATAAAATAAGATAATTGTACACATGTCACATTCTTATTAGTTGCAAAAAAAGTTTGCGGTACCATATTTGGATCCTAAATATAATAGAGTAATGCTATTTATACCTGCCATCTGCACCCCACGACTACAAAACTATGAGTGCGTGTATCAATGTATATTTACACACAGAGAGACACACTCACATGTTATGAAATTATGTGCCTCAAGTTATGCCATGCTTTCACATCTGCACTTACACATATGAGTAACAAAGCTAATGAGTTTGAATAATAAAGATACTCCTCCTAATTTAATTTTTTATACCATATCAAAATAATAACTCTCAACTGCAAAATGTAGATCTTGATCTGAGTTATTTGTACACTTTGGCAGTGGAACTAATAAAAAAGCAAAATTTTCCGTACCCAACTTTAAGATGTGATAAAAAAAAAAGAAGATACAGTACCTTAGCGTAACAGTAATAATAAATTAATTAATTAAATAATAATAATAATACGAAGAACAGTTGTACAATTTTTCATGGAATGGATCTGCGGCTGTGGAACCCTATAGAGTACAGGCAGCCTTTTTCTTTGTCTCTCTTAAAACAATTCCTTTATTGAAACCCAAAGTGCCGGAGACTTTCACTGCAAACCATCACATCTCTGAAACTCAAATCTTAACAGTGAATCAGGCTTAAATGGTTTATTCTAGTCCATGTAACAACAATTAAGCCGAAATTGGGTTGCACCCTCTTTATCATAATTAACTTAACACCCCAAGAAGCATTTTAAAACCTGAAAAGTAATTAAACTACTCCGATTTTCACTCATATGTGCACAGCCAAGTAGTATAATCTTAAAAATAAAACTCTGAAAAAATTCATGTAAAATCAACCAGCCCCAAGAAATTTCATAAAAGGAGTTTTATAATAGCTATAACACTTGATGGGGAGAAGAATTGTTTAGATCTTCAAAAGAAAACTTGCAAATAGCTTCATCTTAATTACATGAAAAATAACGGTTTAAGAATCATATTTTGGGGAACAGATCAGGTCATGATCTATTAAAATAAAGTATTTAGTAGACAAAAAAAAACTAAAGGGACGTATTGTTTTGCCTAAAACGAAAAAACAAAGATCCTGCAGAGCAAGAAAACCCAACCTAATCAAGTAAGGAAGAAAGAGAGGCAAAAAGGCCATGTATGGGAACGTTTGTGTGTCGACATACATAGTGATTATTTTTAGTACATACCCACTGTGTTTGTGTGTGTGTGTGTGTGAGAGAGAGAGAGAATTATACCAAGAGCTGCTACAGAACTCACAGAGCTTGCCACGGTTAGAGAAGATGATGACAGCAACCTCAGCATCACAAAGAACAGACAACTCGTAAGCCTTCTTAAGCAGCCCATTTCTTCTCTTAGTAAATGTCACCTGCCTGTTTATTTTGTTCTCTATCCTCTTCAGCTCAACTCTTCCTCTCCCCATCTCTCTCTCTTTCTCTCTCTAAAGTAAAGCAATCCTTTCTCCTTCTCTCTCTATTTTCTACTCTTGGCTAAGAGCTGAACAACTTTTAGAAGGGTATATATTTTGGGGTACCAAAAGAGATAAGAGTGAACAGTAAAAAGAAAGAGAAGGGAACAAAGAAAATGGAAAGCCTTGGGTGGTCTATCTTTGGATTACCTCCATCTACCGGGTCTTTTACTTACTGCACTAGGTCTTCAGCTGTATCCAATCAATCTCATGCGGACGACACCTGAACATTTAAAATACAATAAAATATTCCCACAATGAAAA